CTATATATGTAATATCAAAGCAATCGGACTTGTGGTTTTTAACAGAAGTCGAAAATATCACTTTTTACCAAAAATTACAAAAATATTCACCAAAATTAGAGAATTGAAGATATCATCACAAAATGAACAAATCTGAGAGAGGTCCACATGTAGTACCTATATATGTAGTATCAAAGCAATTGGACTTGCGGTTTTTAACAAGAAGTCGAAAATATCACTTTTTACCAAAAATGATAAAAATATTCACCAAAATTAGAGAATTAAAGATATCATTACAAAATGAACAAATCTGAGAGAGGTCCACATGTAGTACCTATATATGTAATATCAAAGCAATTGCACTTGCGGTTTTTAACAAGAAGTCGAAAATATCACTTTTTACCAAAAATGACAAAAACATTCACCAAAATTAGAGAATTAGAGATATCATTACAAAATGAACAAATCTGAGAGAGGTCCACATGTAGTACCTATATATGTAATATCAAAGCAATTGCACTTGCGGTTTTTAACAAGAAGTCGAAAATATCACTTTTTACCAAAAATGACAAAAATATTCACCAAAATTAGAGAATTGAAGATATCAACATGAAATGAACAAACCTAAGAGAGGTCTACCCAAGGTACATATACACCAAGTATCAAAGCATTCAGGCTTGTAGTTTTCAAGAAGAAGTCGAAAAAGTAAAACATTGACACGGACGACGGACGACGAACGACGGACGACAGACGACGACGGACAATCACTCATATGATAAGCTCCGCTCGACAAAGTCGAGAGCGGAGCTAAAAAACTCTGGTCATACAGTGAAAATCAGAAAGCTGTAGCATAGTTTTGAAACATATTTATAACAATTTTTTAATAACAATCATCAGCTTTCATTCCAATTCAGATATTTTAATAATGATTGGTGTGATATGGGTACAAGTCTTTAAGTGATTTAGCAATTGCAAACGTACACTTATTCACTTACAGATTGGTCAATCTGTATTATTTGCTTTTAATTTATTTATTTTTGTATTTAATTGTAACCTGCGCACGCGCGGGAATTAAGTCCTAAGCGACGATAACAACACACGCTTAAAACGCAAAGGGTAGACGATTGACACGCTATGGCCATCTGACGCATGCGCAGGTGACAACTCCCCCGCTTTGAAATCAATATTTGTAGCAAATGTACAGATTTGGCTGAAGCAGATGTTTCATTTTATATTGTCTGACTTTTTATCAACAAACAAATTTATATGCAATTTGTCTTTCTTAATAAAATGAAGATGTTTTTTTTTTTTTTGACAACCAACTTTAAATGGTGGTACGTTGTCTGTGAATGTTTTACTTGCTTTGTTATAGTTATGGAAAGTTACAAGTCTTCTTCATCCAGTGAGGAAGTTTCTGGGAAGCCTTTAGTTGGTGATGATGATGTTAAAAGACCTAAACGACCCCCACTACCTAAGGAATATGAAGGCGATCCAGATTTGGAGAAGGGATCTGTTAATTTATTAGGTTTGTATGAAACCAATCATGTTTTCAATATTTCTATTGTTTTTTGTGATACACTTGACCTGTTTTATGATCCTTCTCAAAACATGAAAATACTTCATACACTTGTACATGTAGTTGTGGCAAAATGCTCAATAAATGGTGAGAACAAAATCTAGTTATAGTTTGGCGGTATAGTGAGTAGTATAGGCTTTAACTGTACATAATCTATAGTTATACCACATAAACTTATATACATGATGTTCATTCGTGAATTGCCTGTGGTGGCGCTGTCTCTGAGTTTCAGTGCTCTTTCTTAAAGAAGACCATATTTCCCTTATATTAGAAGTCTGTAGCCCACACAAACTAAAATTGCATTTATTGTATACTGTCATTTTATTTGATACTAATAAAGCAAATACAGTAGGTTTCTGTTGTTTTTGCAGTACTTGATGTAATAAATTGTATCAACTGTAAATACATTTTATTGGTACTATCCAATTACTTTCAAACTTGGATATTATATTAACCAGTTTGGCATTAGGCCATGTTTCATTTTAGTATGCATTTTCTGTATATTTTTCAAATTATTGGTTAAATTTCACTTAAAATTATCTTCTTGTGGTTTAAATAACTTATCTTCAAATTTGGGAGTTTTATAACTATGAAATGTTAACCAAGTTCAATTTTGGTGTAACTAGCATGTGCAATTTTCAAGATATAATTTGGCTGAAATAAGATGTTGATAGAAATAAGTTGACAGAATGAAGATGTCTGTGTTGCTGAGAATGAGAACCAGATGTTAGTACTATGCTCTTGAAGAAATGTCAATTAGATAAGTGTAGTAAATCTGGCTAGTATTTTATTTTGCTTAAATACTAGTATATAGATATAGTATTACTATACTATTTTTTGGGAACTTTTATATGATTCATGTTAATACATCATTCTATATGGGACATTTAAATTATTTCAGTACATGTAATATTATTTCCTCTGGAACTGTTAGATTTGCTCGCTTTCTTTCTTTTTAGCTTCGCTGTCGACTTTGTCGAGCGAAGCTTATCATATGAGTGATTGTCCGTCGTCCGTGTCAATGTTTTCCTTTTTCAACTTCTTCTTAAAAACTACAAGCCTGAATGCTTTGATACTTGGTGTATATGTATCTCATGATGACATCTTCAATTCTCTAATTTTGTGAACATTTTTTGCCATTTTTGGTAAAAAGCGATATTTTTGACTTCGTGTTAAAAATGGCAAGTCCAATTGCTTTGATATTACATATACATGTATAGGTTCTACATGTGGACCTCTCTCAGATTTGTTCATTGTTTGAACAAATTCTAATTTTGGAGAATATTTTTGTAACTTTTGTTAAAAAGTGATATTTTCGACTTCTTGTTAAAACCACAAGTCTGATTGCTTTGATACTATACATATACATGTAGATACCTCAGGTAAACCCCTCTCAGATTTGTTGATTTCATGATGATATCTTCAATTCTCTAATTTTGATGAATATTTTTGTCATTTTTGGTAAAAAGTGATATTTTCGATTTCTTGCTAAAAATAGCAAGTCCGATTGCTTTAATACTATACATATTGTTCATTTTCTAATGATATCTTCAGTTCTTTAATTGAAATGTGTCTTGCTAACAGCGGAGGTATCTCAGCAGACATGCTGCTTGTGTCAAGATTTCAAACATATTTCACTGACTGGCAGCCATTTTTTTTTGCATATTTACAACCCTTATGTAGATATACTTTTACAGATTTTGTTTAAATTTGGTTTAAGAGACAAGACATAATGGAAAACATATGCTTGTTTATTTGTGTCTCATCTTCATTACCTCTGATGGTACATGGCGTCTGGAGAACAATTTTTCAAATTGAGTTCCTGAAAATTGCTTATAATAATTGTGAACATCTCAACAACAGACAAGAATGTTATATTCAATATATTAGGTTGATGATGCACCCATTCCAACCCCTTCCTCCCTAAATATACAAAGGATAGAATATATATAAAATGTAAATACAAGTGTTAATACAAATGGTAAGTGTGTGTGTTGTGCTTATCTTATTTCTTCTGTTTATAAATTTATAAATAAATGTTAATTGTATGATGACATCATCTTTTACCTCATATCTGTTTCTGTGTCTGTGCCATTTGTGAAGAAATATGTTGCAATGGTGCATACCGGGTCAAACACCAATACATCAAGTTTGTGGTAAATAAGACCACATGTGCGCCATATACCTACAATGTATACTTGCTACACGATTGGGTTTACGAAAGCCTGAAGATTTCAATGATTTTTGGTTAGTAGATTAACTATTTTTTGCTACATCTTTGTAAAGTTTTGTGATCCATGCTCATATTGGTTTTGAATTTGATAGCTCAATTCTTTATCAAACCTATTCAGAGCTATTACATTATTCCTGGATTTTAG